TTTTTTTGAGACAGTCTTCCTCTGTCACCCTGGCTAGAGTGCAGTGGTATCATCATAGCTCACTGCAGCCTTGAACTCCTGGGCTCAAGCCATCCTCTTGCCTCAGCCTCCCAAGTAGCTGGGACTACAGGTGAGTGCCACCACGCCCAGCTAATTTTGTATTTTTTGTAGAGACAGGATCTCACTCTTGCTCAGGCTAGTCTTGAACTCTGACTTCAAGCGATCCTCCTGCCTTGGCCTTCCAGTGTGCTAAAGTAACAGGTGTGAGCCACCATATCAGGCCTGTAACTTTTTATATTATACAAATAGGCTACATTCTAACAATTATATACATACATGAAGAGACAGTGACAGAATTTCAGGGAACTTTATTACTGAAGAGAAGCTAGTTGAGTCATTACTTACAGATATATTAGGTATGTACTCCATCCTTCAGAAAGGCTCAAATAACCATTTCATTTCCATCTCTATGATTCTATATAACTGAAAGTCAACAGGATTTATGACTTGAAAATAAACAAATTGAGAGGTAGGAAAGACTCAATACTGGAAGGAAGAATATACAAATTAAATATGTGTTGCCTATACAATTATTGAACTGTGTTTAGATTAAGACACATTTTCTTGTTTTTTAGTATCCAGACTTTTAAAGAGGAGAGAGAAGTGGCTCAGATAACTTCTAGAAGTCTCTTCTACTTCTAAAGTTCTATATTCTAAATCAGACGTTGGCAAACACTGGCTGAGCTGTTTTTGTAAATAAAGTTTTGTATTTTTTTTCCATAGATGGGGTCTTGCTACTTGCCCAGACTGGAGTGCAGTGGATGGATATTCATAGGCACAAACTTGGCACCCTACGGCATCCAACTCCTGGCCACGAGCGATCCTACCACCTCAGCCTCCTGAGTAGCTGGGACTACAGGTGCACATCACCATACTCAGCTTGTAAATAAAGTTTTATTGGAACATAGTTACTGCCATTTGTTTACATAGTGTCTATGACTGCTTTCACACTACAAGGGCAGAGAAAAGTAGTTGTATCAGAGACTATGTGGCCAGCAAACCTGAAATATTTACTATCTGGCTCTTTAAGAAAAAGTTTGTCAACATTTGTTCTAAATAAAATAAAAAAGGCAAAAGACAAACAAAAAAACAAACCCCAAGAATCTGTTAGCAAAGTCTATGTCCCATAAATGCCTTATAATCTACTGCAAATTGTATTTAAAACACATAAAAAGTCATTAACAAAATCACATATTACCCAAAGAGTGTTTCCTTATCAAAAACGGTGTCTGCTGGCATATTCACAGGAATAAGGAGGTCTGGATGTGAGTCAAAATGTAAAAATCTTATATTACTGGCAGGAAGATGTTTTGAGCCTATGGCCCGGTATATAAAAGGTAGAACCTGTAAAAAACACATATACACATTCAGAATTGCCACTGAAATCATGAGCACACACTCAACTGCAGACTGGAAAACAATGCTAAACACAGTTGCACATAATTTGAAGCATATCAAGGTATTAAAAAGTGGGAAAAGATAAAATTTGGTTATTGTAGATTGTTCAGATAATGACTGCAAGCATTACTTTTTCCTCCGAACTTCCAACTTGTACCTCTAGTTGCCTTCCTGACCTCATCTCAAACTCAACCGGTAAGGTGGGTAAACAGACCAGGATTGGGGCTCAGGAACAAACTGCTGGTTAACACCTGGTCTAGCTTTAACTGTGTGTTCAAGATACCCTAGCTCTTGAGGTCTTTTCAATGTCTTTAGGATGGTGAGGACTGGCTAGATGGTTTCTAAGACTCTCCTCTCACATCCTCTATAGTTCTAGGTGTAATAACGAATTTGAAAAGCACCACCTAACCCACACTTTTTCTTTCTCTCAAGTTCATAGACACTATGTCTAGGACCTGAGAAAGCCAACTTTCTTCCTCTCCGCTTAACTTTCTCCATCGGTTAATCTCTCCTCTTTTACATCCAGATAACCCCAAGGCCTATTAATGCCACTTTAAAACAAATTTCTTAGATCCATGGACTTTCTTTGTTGATTTCCAAAAGTCTAGATTAAACCACCAATTTTGCTACTATACTGTAGCACAACCAGAAAAATGGAAACGACTTTTAGTGTCTACATATGCCAGGGCACCACGTTAAAAGATTTATGTACACAATATACTGACAGTAACACTCCTAATGGCCCTATGAGTTCTATGATTTGTGTTCCCATTTTATAAATGAAATGCCACGTTTTTAGCATAGAGTTTTCCACCTAAACAGCAAGGCTGTGATAGAGATGCCAGGAGACATTTGGAAGCTAGGGTTAACTGCAGGTGAAGGGGCTCTGCAGTCAGACTGCTCAGGTTCGAATCCCGACACCACCAGTTGTGGGATTTGGGTAAACCTTGTTAAATGAATTGCCGGACACATAGTAAGCATCCCATAAACGTAAGCTCCTGATCTTTCAAGTTGTCTGTGTCGGTGTCTCCCCACAACAACGGAACTCGCGCAGTTAACCAATTCTGGTGATCTCTTTGGCCTCCGACTCTCAGGCTGGGCCGTCTCCTTGGTTCTGGAGCACCAGTGCTCTCGGCGGTTCTGTCCCAGAGCCCAGCAGCCGCCCGCTCACCTCCTGATGATCCTCCACCACCCACACCGGGAGCTCTGGGTAGCACCGGAGACAAGTGCGCTGTCCCGCGGAGTCACTCATGTTTTCGTGCTGGTCAGCGCTGCAGCGAGTCTGAGGCACCTGCCGAGGACCCCGGAATGCCCAAGCCTCTGCCCAGCTTCCCTCTTCGGGCGGAAACTCGCGCTCACCCGGTTGCGCTTCCAGATTGGAGGACATAGAAGGCGGGGGCGGGCACCGGACGGCCCGCGGCGGACGATTGGCCTAGAGGTCCATCGCTCTCGTTGACACGCCAATCAGCGCGAAAAAAGCGCTGCGGTAGGCCGAAGAGTTTTCCTTCCCTTGACCCAGCTTTCACAGGTTTGCTTTTTAATTCTCTCAGTTTCCTGTTCCGGAGGCGCGGGCGGCGCCACTGTCTTGGCGGCTGCAGTGGTAGCCTGGCTTTTTTTCTGACGACGACCTCGCGGCGCGAGAGCCTGTTGTAGGTAAAAGGGGCACCTTGCGAGTGTTGGAAGAAGGAATGTTTCCGAGTGTCGGATTTAAAAGGGGCTGGAGTCCGGGGCTGGCTGAAAGGCTCCTGGGAGTTGGTGTCGGGGAGCCACTCTTCAGATCTGCAGCTAAGGACAAAAGAGCGACCCTAGGCCCGGATCCCGCAAATAAAAAGAAATGAAAAAGAATACCTTTCATTCATTTGTGGAGCGCACGCTGTGGTCCAGGCCTGGGGCCGCCGGGGTCTCGGAGGGGAGCGAGACCGCAAGCCCAGCGCCTGCCTCGTGGGGCACAGAGTCTGGCGGGAGATGCAAACAGGCAATCACGCAATTAGGGGTCTGCCAGATGAAGGTGACTGGCCTGCAGATTCACCTGGGGGAAAGAGGGAGTTCTCAATAAAAATGTAGTCACACTTTGCAACTCTTTTTACGTGGCCTGACGTTCCTGGACGTGCTAACTACTCACAACAGCATCCTAGGAGTAGGCAGACTCAGAAAACAGTTACTTTTACAGTTGCAGTGAATTCCTTGACTTCTGAATTAAAGTCTGCATCCACAACACAGACATAGCATGCATATGATAGTTTATTTCATGGTAGGTATTTGTAGATTTTCTAACTGTAGAAACATCCAACAAGGACCTGGTAGTGAATGTTCAACTGTTACACACACACTGTACAATAGTGTTAATGACCCTGACCCTGACTATTGCCCACCTCTAGGTTCAGCACACTCTTTTGTGTTTCTCTAGACCCTGTACATACCTCTTTTCTTCTGTTTATCGCATAATATTATATTTTTAAAAAACATATTTGTATGTGGATTCTAATTACTTGAATCCTGCATGTTATGTTTTACTTGTGTTTGAATTTGCAGGGCCTGGGACAGTGCTTTACATATATGGGCTCCTTAAATGTTGCATGAATCAGTGAAAAGTTCTGCCTTCTGTGTGTTCTCCATAATGCAAATCTATTTTGTGAGACAGTAAACATTTATTCATCACCTACTGTGTGCAGGATGCTCAGTCAGGGGCTGTGAAGGATACAGAAATGACTGTGAATCAACCCATGTCATCAAGGAGCTAGTGGAGGAGTTAGACGTGTGCACACATGACTATAACATGAGGCAGTCTCCGGTAAGTGCTGTAAAAGTCAGCGTAGACTAAGTCTAGAACGAATGGAATTACTTTGTAAAGGGAATCAGGAGAGGCTTCACAGAGGAGGTGACATTTTAGCTTAGTAGATGAGTAAAAATTGACTGGGTAAGAGATTTTAGAGAGAATAATGGGAGCAAAGAACAACCCGAGTGATAGTACTTGGTATGTTAAACAGCTGGGAAAATCTGGGCTAGTAGGGGTTTTGTGGGGAAGGTAATGGAGGACAAGCCTGGAAGGAGACTTTGGGTCAGATTTTATAAGGTCTAAAATGCTAAGCGTGGAGTTTGAACTTAATTCTGCCAGCACTGAATAGCCTATGGTGGCAAGATCAGCTGTGTGGGCCCAGGTTTATCACAAGAGCATTGGACTGAATAAATTAGATATTATTTGGTGTCTGTTATTAAGCACAATGATTGGTATATAATCTGAAATTATTTTCATGAGCCATTTGAAAGGCCTCTTAGTAAAACTTAGACTTTAGGAAGATATTTCTACTTTAAAGCTTTTTGCACAGAATATGTATCTGAGGCTTTTTTTGTTTTAACATTTTGCTGAAGTTCAAGTGTATGGAAAATTATTTGTGTTCACAGTGTCTTTCTATGGGAAAAGCTGAGAATGAACATCAAGAATCATAACTGTTATGTTAACAAGATTATGATTATGTTTTGAATTTGAATGCTGGTTTCTCTGTGATTTTTGTGTTTGATCTATTCCTACCTGTTTTTATAATGAAGGAAGCTAGAGTATGAAAAGGGGAAGGGGAAATAATTTTTACCCCAATCTTTTTTTTTTTTTTTTTTTGAGACAGAGTCTCACTCTGTTGCCTGGACTAGAGTGCCATGATGTCAGCCTAGCCCACAGCAACCTCAAACTCCTGGGCTCAAGTGATCCTCTTGCCTCAGCCTCATGAGTAGCTGGGACTACAGGCATGTGCCACCATGCCCGGCTAATTTTTTCTATATATTTTTAGTTGTCCACCTAATTTCTTTCTATTTTTAGTAGAGAGGGGGTCTCGCTCTTGCTCAGGCTGGTCTTGAACTCCTGAGCTCAACGATCCACCCGTCTCGGCCTCCCAGAGTGCTGGGATTACAGGCGTGAGCCACTGCGCCCAGACTTTACCCCAGTCTTTTAGTAAATTAGAGATAAGATATGCCTATGTTTTTCAGTCTTTTTAGCTACTGATAGTTTTGAGTCAGAGCCACAAGTAATAAGGACATCTTAAAATTTGGTTGGAAACTTTAATGCAGTTCAACATGCTCTTAATTTTGTTAGTAGGCTAAGTGCTTTGGAGAATGCAAAATCAGTGTTAAGATAATTGCAGAAATATTTTGTAGCATCTGCAGTTTGGGAAACATGTTTATGTCTATTTTATTCTTTGTTTTTTAGAGCTTATATTCTCTGTGGAAGATGTGACATATCCAGACAGTACATCATGATGCAAGGCAATACATGGTGAGTGATGTGATGTGTTTGGGAGAACAGAAAGAGTAGCAAACACTGGTGTGAGGCCACATAGAGGGTGGGAGCGGGGAGGTACCTGGGGAGAGGGGAAATGTGCTCATTCTTTAAGCACTGGGTATAACACAACAGAAGGCTATGCACAGGGCTAGGAAGCAAGACCAGAACAGTTAATGAAACATCCCAGAACCCTGCCCTGATGGAGCTTGTACTTCTCAGATGCATGTAGAAACTGAAGGTGGAATTAGGTAATTAATTGGTAGATTGTAATTATTGTAGGACCTGCTAAGAAGCAGCATAGTGTTGTGAGAACAGGGGACCTAACAAAGCCCTAGTGTCAGTGACAGTGGTTATAGAAAGGCCAGCAAGGATATTATTGTAATAGCCAGGAAAGAAGTGATGGTGCGAAGTGGATGAATTGAAAAGTATTTATGAAGCATAAATGATAGGAATTTTAATTTCTTAAAATTTTTTTATTAAGGTATTTATTACATAATTGATAGGAATTTTAAAATCAATTTTTAGCTAAGTGGAGTGAAGGAGGAAAGGTTGTCAGGTGATTTCCTGGTATATGTCTTGAGAACCATTAATGGTGTCATTTATGGAGATAGGAAATACTAAGAAAGGAGCAAGTGTTTATTTTGGAGAGGAAGATCATTAATTCCTTTTAGGATATGTTATGTTGAATTTGCTGAGTCAGTGAGACATTCAAGGAGGAAGGTCGGGTTGGCAGTTGGCAAAGTGGGTCTGGAGCTCAGAAGTTGATGGCTAGAGATGTAACTTTGGGACTTATTGACAGATGGGTAGTAATTGAAGAAACATAGTTGGGAAAGGTCACGTTGGCAGAGAGAGTGAGCTGAGTGCCCAAGCTGGACCCCTCTGGAATACCAAATGATCAAAGGTCCCCTAGCGGAGGAGGAGCTGGCACAGGAGACTGCAAGGAGGAATTGCCAGAGAGGTAGGAAGGACACAGTGAGGGTGTTTTGTCAGCAAGCTAAGGAAAGCCTCCATTGGGGGTGGAGGCGAGGCAACTGGACTGAATGCTGCATAGAGATCAAGTAAGATGATTGAAGATGACCACTGGTTTTCAAGACAAGGTGGGTACTGGTCATTTCACTCGCTGGAGTAGTGGCAGAAGCCAAAGCTAAATTAGCTAAGTTGGAAGTGTATACACTTTTGTCTTAGGCAGTCTGGGTTGCCATAACAAAATGCCATAGACTGGGTGGCTTAAACAACAAACATTTATTTCTTATGGTTCTGAGCCTGGGAGTCTGCAGTCAGAGTGCCAGCATGGTCAGGTTCTTGGTGCATGCCCTCTTCCTGGCTTGCAGATGGCCACCTTCCTGCTATATCGTCACTTGGCAGAGAGAGGGGGGGATCTCCTGTCTCATCTTCTTTTTATAAGGGAACTAACCCCATCATGAGAACCCTATCCTCATGACCTAATCTAACCCTAATTATTTCCCAGAGGCCCCATCTCCATATAGTGTCACACTGGGGATTAGGGGTTCGACATATAAATTTTGCAAGGAACACAAACAATCCCTAACAACTTTTCCAGGTCATTTGGCTGTGAAGGGGAGGAGAAAGAAGGTGCAAAGTGGAGGGAGACCCAGAGGCCAAGGAAAGTATTTTACTTTGGAATAGACCTGACCATTTTTAAATGCTGATGTGAAGGGTCTGGTAGCAAGGAGACATGAAGGAATACAGAGGAAGGGTGGTTATCCCAAATATATACATTTGGGGATGGTATCCAGAGCACGTGTGTCAGGAGAGGCTTTGTCAGGAGGAGGGAATTGGGAGAGGATGGAGTTGGGCGCACATAGGTTTGCAGAAATGATAGAACAAGTTGAAGGAGTTCTCTTCTGATGGTGTTTGTGTTTCTGTGTGGTAGCAGATAAGGTTGCTTGTTGACTGTGAAGAGGGAACGGAATATGGGGAAGATGCTGAAGATTTGTGGTAGTTACGGAGGATAGTTAGGAGAGTAAGCTGGCTGCAGAAGCATGCCGGGGAATGGCTTGGCAGAACCCAGCGACCATGAATTTCCATGGACACCAGTATGCCTAGTCAGGTATTTTTCTACAGTACTACTTTCTGGTTAGCCTCCAGAAAACAAGATTTTTGCATTCTTCTAAAATTGGGGTATTGCCAGGTTCTTGTGACTGAAGTAGAGAGGGGCATTGGAGCATAGGGTATTAAAAAAATGAGTTATTGAGATGCTGGGCCATGGGGTCTGTGCTGAGTGGGTAGGAGGTGAAGATAGGAAGATGCTGGTGCAGATGTGTGCAGACCTTACATGTGAGCTCAAGATTGAGGGGGAACTTGAGCAGGAACGTGACAGCAAATACTTGAACAATGGGATGTTGAATTTGTCATTTTGGAGATGGAGCAGCTTTAAGGAATGACAAGGTCGAGAGTGACCTTGGCAATGGGTTGGGTGGCCAAGACAGGAGAAGGTGACTTTATTGGCTATGAAGAGTTTCAGATATTGTCGAGAGCCTGGTATTAAATTGGTGGAATATTCCAGCAACCTGACTGTCAGTTGCTCATCAAGATGGTCAGGCATTAATGAAACCCTGTTTACATAATGAGGTTTTTTTTTTTAAACTTTTTCCCTTTATATTTTCTCCAACAAAGTCATAGAATGTCCTTCCACCCAGGACGAGGATGTCCCCGAGGACGAGGAGGACATGGAGCCAGACCCTCAGCACCAGCCTTCAGGCCCCAAAATCTGAGACTGCTTCACCCTCAGCAGCCTCCTGTGCAATATCAATATGAACCTCCAAGTGCCCCTTCCACTACTTTCTCGAACTCTCCAGCCCCCAATTTCCTGCCTCCACGACCAGACTTCGTACCTTTCCCTCCGCCCATGCCTCCGTCAGCACAAGGCCCTCCCCCGTGCCCAATCCGGCCCCCTTTCCCCAACCACCAGATGAGGCACCCCTTCCCAGTTCCTCCCTGTTTTCCTCCCATGCCTCCTCCGATGCCCTGTCCCAATAACCCCCCGGTCCCTGGAGCACCTCCTGGGCAAGGCACTTTCCCCTTCATGATGCCTCCACCCTCCATGCCTCACCCCCCGCCCCCGCCAGTCATGCCACAGCAGGTTAATTATCAGTATCCTCCGGGATACTCACACCACAACTTCCCGCCTCCCAGTTTTAATAGTTTCCAGAACAACCCCAGTTCTTTCCTGCCCAGTGCTAATAACAGCAGTAGTCCTCATTTTAGGCATCTCCCTCCATACCCACTCCCAAAAGCTTCCAGTGAAAGAAGGTCCCCAGAAAGGCTCAAACACTATGATGATCACCGGCACCGAGATCACAGTCACGGGCGAGGCGAGAGGCATCGGTCCCTGGATCGGCGGGAGCGAGGCCGCAGTCCTGACAGGAGAAGACAAGACAGCCGCTACCGATCAGATTATGAACGAGGGAGAACGCCGGGCCGCCACCGCAGCTACGAGCGGAGCAGGTAAACCGGATGTGGGGACAACTTAGTTGAACTGCAGAGGCCCAGACACAGTCAATTTCCGTTAATGGCAAACCAAACAAAAAGGGTCCAGCAGTGCATTTCGATTTATAAAAAGAAAGAAAGCGTTTAAACACTGTTTTCAAGAGGAAGAGACACCTGACAAGTAAATAAATTGATATCAGAAAAAGGTACGTTTGAAAAGCATTCCAGAATTATCAATGTAGATTCATCTCAGTGAATATAAGCTTTTACTCTGCTTAGTAGTAAACATTTTAATGATGATCCTATGACATAAAAGATCTTGTGTTTTTTATCATAGATATGTTCAGTGTGATCATCATATTGGGTTATAGAGTTTGATTTCCTTTGGAATTGATCTGTATATGTTATCACACAAGAATCTAACTAGTTAACAGAACTTGCTTTCTGATTTTTAGGATAAGTAGAAGTTCATTGCACATTGTTGCCTTCTTGCTCTGTTTCTTTGTAAAATGAAATGAGATTAGTTACACATGATCAAAGAGTTTTCAGACTAGCTTTTACCCAGATTTTGTTACATTGAAACATATTCATACTGAAGAAAGTTGTGTTTAAAAAATGCTGTTCCATTCTAGATTACATTTCCTATTTTCAAGATCAAATATCTATAAATACAAGAGAAATAAGGTTTTGAGTAGGCATTCTTAAAACTGGGATTCTAGATGGACTCATAGAAATGCTCTGAAGTTATATGCAAAGTTTTATATGTGTGCGTGCGTTTTCCAAAAGAAAGCAGATTCTCAAAGAGGTGGGTGTAAGTCTGTTACCTCAAAAGGCTAAGAACCATTGGTTTATATGGAAAAATAAAAGCCATAGATAACAATTGTACTAATATTTATTTATGCCTTCAGTGAACCCTGTTGGTGAAGATTTGAGGTCTTCAGTTGTCAAGCTAATAATGGTGCTTCTCTTTCTTTCACCTGTAGTGTGTTTACCTTGATTGTCTTGTAGAACTTCTGTGCTAAAAGTATTTGAGCTCCCCAAACCAGGTCGCTTGATCCTGTGGGTGTGTAGAGAGCTAGTCTTGCCTCCTGTTGTTACTCCACAGCTGATTTCAGAAACCAGTTCACATCTCTGTTTCCACATTTATCTCATGGCTCTATTGATTTGATTCTGACTCAACATTTTGCCAGTAAATGATAGTGGTCATTCTTTGCCCTCAAGAGAGTGACTGGTGCTTGGAAGGTTGCATTGTTGCCTCTCCCTGATGGCCCGGCGTAGGGTAGAGGGGCACGTGTTTCTTGCAGAGATGACTGATTTCTGGTGGGCAGAGTGAGAATCGGTAGACTTTCTAAAATATTTTCCAACATAAACTAGTGTTTCTGATCAATATTGTTCTTAATTATTCTGTCATGAACTAGTTGGCAGAGGCCTGTGATAGTTTATTTTACAATTTTATAGTGAAAATATAAACTGCAAAGAGTTTGTAAATAGTTTCTTCAGACTTTAAAGGATTGTGAGTAATCTTTGGGAAAATATTTTGGTGCAAACAATCTATGTAGTGTGTTTTTCCTCCTCCATTTTTGGGTGCTGTAATTAGAGGAGTTGCCAGGGCTGCGCTGCAAATCCTAAATTCTTCCACTGAGGCTTAAACTTTGCATTATGTATTTGAAGAAATTCAGATGTCCTGTAAACTGAGGATCTCAGTAGAATCAAGTGCTATAAGAATTACCTCTAATCGATTTTATCTTAAACCATACTCTTTTACTGTGAGAATATACATCTTTCTAAAATAGTCTGTATTTATTTTGGAGTTTATAATGTACCCAGGGCATTTGCCTTGGAGCTGCCTTAGGGGCACAGCCACATTATAATTGGCTACCTTGGGGTATTAGGTGGAGTGTCAGTCATCTGTATTATATAGAAGGCTTCTGTGACACAAACATGGGGCATGTGAAGTCCTGATATAACTTCTAGAAATATATTGGCAGAAACTGAAACTTTGTGAATTTGTACACTAGATTGTTAAGTTTATGCAAATTATATGGTCTGTTCTCTGGCTGCTTTTCCCCTGCTTCTTGGGGTAAGTGAACCTATCGTTTTACAAATTCCATCTTCTTTCTTTTTCTCCTCCTCCAAAATATGGTTGAATAACCAATTGCAAGATTGTTTTAGGGTGAACTATATTTAGAAAAGGTTTGTGAAGAAATGGATATATGTATTTGCTATCATGAAAGAGCAAAGTTACTCTAGGGAATGAGAAAAGAAACAGCTGCAGTAAGTGTAGCACGCCAAGTGTGCTGTTTTGTAGTGTGGTAAGGAAGTGGGCAGTGGGTTTCACCTAGCTAAGTAGTACTACTGCGCAATAATTCCCATGGCTGTCCTGGGGACAGTAAACATCTAGCCATTGGGGAGCTAGCATAATGTACCTAAGGAGTATCTCAGCGTTTGCAAACAAGGAAGAATCTTAGGAAAAGTAACACGTAATTTTTCTTGCTTTAAAAGGGTTCATTTTGATAGTGTTACTAATGTGACATATCCAAATTGGTCTTTTCAATTCCTACCCACTCAGAGGTAACAGTCATCATCGTAAGTGTTATTCTTAAATGCAAAGGTTTGTTGGCTAAATGTTAAAAAAAGAAAATTAGAAATATCCTCTATTTGGAGTTTTTATTTGGAAATATAGGCAATTGTTCTTTTCAGCAGCCATGCCATTACAAATTACATATATCTTTGACATGTGGCACCATTTACTAATTTCTATACAGTAATTGAGATTTATCGACTACATGTAAACTGTGATTTTAGAAATATGTCAGATGAAGAATGTAGAATCCCAAGCTCTGGCTGTTTGATTTTGAACAGTTAATGTATCCCTGAGGATTATGTGTTATGTTAAAAACATTCAAAGGAATATTTCTTGAGAACAGGGAAATGTTTAAGTGAAAAAACAATTTGTCTTAATATCTAAGCACTCATTGATGTCTATTAGTTTTGTAATTTTGATTTCAGTGTATTTATATTTGTTCTGTTTGGCTATAAGTTGGGGGATATTTTTGAGTTCAGATATTTTTATAGTCCTCTTGCTAGACTCAGGTTAATATAGCATTTTTTTTTTTTTCTCCATTCTAAGGTTGGGCGGTTACTTCCTTTAGATTTGTAGTTCTGATTCAGACACACAGGAGTTTAGATTTTAGTTTCAGACTTTTATTGTTAAATAGGCTCAACGCTATTATAATTATTTATTATTAAATTCCCCTTTTACATTGGAAGGGTTTTAAAATCCTTCATTCTGTTTTTCACCTTGTATAAACCCAGCGTCTCCATTTAGTTTTTTCCAGATGAAAAATAGCATTAAAGTGACTTAGTCATGGTCTTGTGGCAGGTTAGTGATAGCTAAAACTACAACTGAGGCCTGTAACCCATAAGAGTGAAGAGCTCTTTTATTATAGAACCTTGTCCTAATTTTTACTGTAAAAGCTTTATAATTTGCATTTATTTGATGGGTGAAGTTTAGAGTTTTTTAGAAAGCAGTAGGGTGTAGAGTCCTTTAAAGTTTTCCCTGTAGGTTAAATACCCAAGGATTGGCTGATTAGAAGGTCTTGAGAAAAGATTACAATAAAATTCCCTTTATTACTTAGCATTATGTATGACTTCTTTCTTTAAATAAAACTGCAACAATTGTCCAAGTTAGTTAACTTCTGGTACATGAAAAACTCCTTTATCTTCTAATAAATTAAGGAGGCATAAAAATGGCCCCTAGTGAATAGTTCCTGAAAAATTCTTAGATATGGTCCATTTATTTAGGAGATGAATTCGGTGAAAAGAGATGGTGTTTTTGAGTCTTTCTGTTGAAAACAGCTCTGTGTATTAATTCCTTTAAGAGAGCGAGAACGGGAGAGACACAGGCATCGGGACAACCGAAGATCACCATCTCTGGAAAGGTCCTACAAAAAAGAGTATAAGAGATCTGGAAGGTAAGCAAGGAGTTGACACTGAAAGAAGTCATAGGATTATCTCCTTGAATTCAGATTTTGTGCTTGTGCAGAGTATCAGCCAAATCTTCATAATAGCCTCAGTCTGTCCAAAATGACCTGTGAAAAGCTAAAGCAGCCTGTAACTTAGAAGCCTTTACTTTCCAGATGTATTGATAATGCACAAAGAAAATCTTGATAAATTTCCCAAAATTAGAAATTATACAGACCACTTTTTCTAACCACAAATGCTATAAAACTATACATTAATAATTCAAGTTATTTTAAAAAACCTTGACAATTCATAATTATGCTCTTAAATTTACTTGTTTCAGAAAAAAACAAAATGGCAGTCATACTTTCTTTAGAAAAATGGCATCGAGATTGCTGTAACCCAAAACTAAGAGGGTATAACTAATTCTGTGTCCAAAAGTAAAATTTTGTGGTCTTATATGTTGGTAATTAAGAGTAACACTCCAGGGTCTGAAAGATTTGGATCAGTTATTAGCTTTCCCCACTTTGTTATTGGGTCAAGTAATTTAAGCTTTCTAAGCCTCAATGTCTTCATCTGTAAAATAAGGACAGTTACATTTACCTTATTGAGTGTTGAGGGGTCATTGAGTTGATACATGTCAGACACTTAAAACTGGATCTAAAGTAAGTGCCAAGTAAATGATAACTATATACATAATTATTATCTGAGCACTTGGCTTTAGAAGTGAGTGGAGTATAAGAAAAGCAGAAAAAGGGATTTAAAGATAAAATAAATTAAACAACATTGAAACAAAACCATAGCAGTATAACTATTTGTAAATAAATACAAGACTTGGTTCTTTGAAAGATCATCTAATTTGAAAAGTGGCAAATCAAGAAAAGAAAAATGTACATAACATTAGATTTGAGAAAGTATATTATTACAAGAATGAAGAAGATTTAAAAATTATAGATAGTGTAAGGACAGATATTTTATTTAAAAAATTAAAAAGTTGAATGTGGTGGGTTAATTTCTAGTAGAACAGAAATTACACGTTTCACACAAGAAGCAGAAAACTTTAATAGGCCAATAACCATGTAAAGAATTGAAAAAGCTGAGTTTGTACCAGCTCCAAAAAATTGTGAACTGTTCTAGAACAGTGGAGAAGATGGAAGAAAAGTTAAGCTCATGCTGTGGTAGCAGGAAAACCCAGGTGGCAAAACCTAACCAAGGAAAAGAAAACTACACAGCAGTCTCTCTTCTGAGTATGGGTAAAAATACTAATAAGGATACTAGCAAGTTGTTTTCAGTTGTGTGTTAAAATAACCGATAGAGTTTATTCCAAGACTGCATGGATAGATGAGTTAGTATTAGAAAATCTGTAATTACTGTGTCAAAATCTGTAGGGTTACCTCAGTACTCATTAGGTATTGAAATAAAACCAGCATCCGTTTATGAGTGAAAGCTTTAATAAACTACGAAAATTAGCAGACTTCTTTAACATGGTGAAGAATGCTATCTTATGATGAACATAACTGATACTATCTTGAAAGAGCCACATTTAGCATTGAAACCTAGAGGCCTTCCCATACAAGTTAGAAAATAGACAAGGAGGCCCCATTGCCTATCACTGTTACTGAACATTATTAGGACTCAATCAACAGGCTAATTAAACACATGGGGTTCTTTCGTTATATGGTACTGGTGTGGGTGATACCCACACCATTAACAAGACTCGTTAACAAGAGCCCCCACTTTATAGGAAAAAGAAAGTTAAGTGCTATTGCCAGGACAATTACATGTTGCGCTGGGAACATGACAGTGAAAATCCAGTCAAGAGCAGTCTGAGAGATACTGACGTTTTCCTGATGCCCGATGTATGCATATGCATTGGGTAGAGAGAAGAGCATGTGTGAAGGTTGCACTGTGGAAAAATGCTCTGAGAGGTCAAGCTGGAGACCGGGAAATCAGTTTCTAAGGCTTTCGTAGCAATCCACAGGAGAAACAATTGTGGCCTAGACCAGCGCAAAGACAGTGGTAACTGGAAAAGGTAGACGTAATTGAGAGATGTTTACATGCTAGAGTCAGTAGGACTTGATAACTGCTCAGATGTGTTAGGGGTGAGGGAAGAAGAGTTGAGTGATACCTGAGACCTGTGCTCCCTATTGAGGGTGGGAGACACTGAGAAAGAGACAAGAGAATGAGTTCACTTTGGATTTGAAGAGTCCCAGACAACCAAATGGAATCGTGCAGTAGTTAATTGGATGTGCAAGTGTGATGTTCAGAAAGCGATCTTAGCTGGAAACACTAAGTGCCATGGATTAGACGAGCCTAACTGGGAGGGTGAGCTGAGGGCCTAAAGAGGAGGAGAGGAGATAGGAGAAAAGCCAGGGAATTGTGTTGGTAGACATCACTGAGCACCTATTGGAGGTGGATGATTTTTAATGTATAAGTGCTAGAAATTTCCTCAGTCTAGTAGTTTCTTCTTTTATGCCTGCTGGCTTGTAGGGACGGCAGACTTGAATTCTGTGAGTTCTAACTAATGCAGTAGATGGGAAAATAAAAATTAGAGTTGAAAATATTGTAAA